GACTGTCGTTCGGCACGCTGCATTGAGCAGCCGCGTTCAGTTTTTAATTGTAGTGTCTGTTCTTTTACTGTACTAAATGATTTTTATTTCTATAAAAAATCAAAACGACGGTGGGGGTCGGTGCCGCTGTGGGCAAGTGACGTAACCGGTGTTGTGGCTTAACACCGGTATCACCGTCAGCACGTCTATCGCGGCAAGCCTATTACAGAAGATTTCTGTTTCAAGTATTTAAGTATTTCTGTTCACCATTAATACTAATCAGAAATGTTTCTTGAGCATCACACGGCCGAGCGAACTCGAGACCGCATGCTCCCACAACAGACAGAACATGGAGCGCGAGTGTCCGGAGCGCGAGTGTCCGGACCCCGAAACGAAACCGAAACTCAAGACCTGAGTGCCGGGATCCGAACACCACGCTCCAACATGAAACAGTACACGCAGACGAGAGCGCACGGCTCGAGCACTCTCGAAGCCGCACGCTCACATGAAAACAATGACATGACGGGAGTGTCAGGGCTCTGTCACAAAACCATGAATTACACTAGACCGAAGTGACAGAACCCTGACATAATTATACATAATTACACCATTTACAGTATTTCTCATGAAATAAATGCTGCCTTAATGAGCTTCTTTCATAAACATTAAAAAAAAATCTTGCTTATCCCAGACTTTTAAACAGTAATCTATATTTGTAACAAATTTGAACAGATTAGTTTTTTTACGTTCATATATTATAAACTTTACCTTGGTGGTTTCCATCAAAATGACAATTACTAGTGTTTGCTACTGGAAAAAAATTCAAATAAATAAACTTGATTTTATAATATACAAAGAGGCTGTTTTTAAATCTTTCATAAGTTAAAATCTTTCTGCATTAAGAGAAACTACTTAAATATTTACACTACCGGTCAAAAGTTTGGGATCAGAACGATTTTTTATGTTTTTTTACAGGAGTTTCTTATGCTCATCAAGGCTGCATTTATTTGATCAAAAATACAGGAAAAAATTTAATATTGTGAAATATTATTATGATGTAAAATAAAATGTTTCTATTTTAATATACATTAAAATCTAATTTACTCATGTGATGCAAAGCTGAATGTTCAGCATCAATACTCCAGTCTTCAGTGTCACATGATCCTTCAGAAATCATTCTAATATGCTGATTTATTATCAGTGCTGGAAACTGTTGTGCTGCTTCATATTCTTTTGGAACCTGTGATACTTTTTTTCAGGATTCTTTGATGAATAAAAAGTTAAAAAGAAGAGCATTTATTTAAAATAGAAATCTTTTCTAACAATATACACTACAGTTCAAAAGTTTGGGGTCAGTAAATTTGTATTATTTATTTTTTTTAAAGAAATTAAAACTTTTATTCAGCAAGGATGTGTTAAATTTATAAGAAGTGATAGCAAAGATTTATATTGTTAGAAAAGATTTATATTTTAAATAAATGCTAGTATTCCTAATAATAGGAATGTTGTTACTGTGTTGCAGTGGGCTGTTCTAGAACTGTTAGTTTAAGTGACTAATCAAAAAAGATTCTGTATTTTAATAAACAGGAAAAAAAGAAAAGTTAGGTGCAGCCTAACACCTAACAGTACACAGTGTTTCTATACGTTAACCGTCTTGGCATAATAAATGTAGTTATTTTGCTCCAGTTTATGTGCAGTGCTTGTTTGTACCTGGCTCCGTGTCTGTGGGCTGTGGTTAGGTCTGGCTGATGTTTTTTGTGTGATCAGTCATCAGCTATTCTTGTGGCTTTCTGGAACGATGGTAGTGATTAGTTTGGAGTGCTTTAGTAAAGAGGGAACACCCAGTGGCAGTGCATCTAAAGACCCTTTAATGAGGCTCTTGTGTTACCCGAGCACATGTGACTACCGGTCAAAAGTTTGGGATCAGAACGATTTTTTATGTTTTTTTACAGGAGTTTCTTATGCTCATCAAGGCTGCATTTATTTGATCAAAAATACAGGAAAAAATTTAATATTGTGAAATATTATTATGATGTAAAATAAAATGTTTCTATTTTAATATACATTAAAATCTAATTTACTCATGTGATGCAAAGCTGAATGTTCAGCATCAATACTCCAGTCTTCAGTGTCACATGATCCTTCAGAAATCATTCTAATATGCTGATTTATTATCAGTGCTGGAAACTGTTGTGCTGCTTCATATTCTTTTGGAACCTGTGATACTTTTTTTCAGGATTCTTTGATGAATAAAAAGTTAAAAAGAAGAGCATTTATTTAAAATAGAAATCTTTTCTAACAATATACACTACAGTTCAAAAGTTTGGGGTCAGTACGTTTTTATTCTTTCCTTTTTTTTTTAAAGAAATTAAAACTTTTATTCAGCAAGGATGTGTTAAATTTATAAGAAGTGATAGCAAAGATTTATATTGTTAGAAAAGATTTATATTTTAAATAAATGCTAGTATTCCTAATAATAGGAATGTTGTTACTGTGTTGCAGTGGGCTGTTCTAGAACTGTTAGTTTAAGTGACTAATCAAAAAAGATTCTGTATTTTAATAAACAGGAAAAAAAGAAAAGTTAGGTGCAGCCTAACACCTAACAGTACACAGTGTTTCTATACGTTAACCGTCTTGGCATAATAAATGTAGTTATTTTGCTCCAGTTTATGTGCAGTGCTTGTTTGTACCTGGCTCCGTGTCTGTGGGCTGTGGTTAGGTCTGGCTGATGTTTTTTGTGTGATCAGTCATCAGCTATTCTTGTGGCTTTCTGGAACGATGGTAGTGATTAGTTTGGAGTGCTTTAGTAAAGAGGGAACACCCAGTGGCAGTGCATCTAAAGACCCTTTAATGAGGCTCTTGTGTTACCCGAGCACATGTGTGTGACAGAGAGACGATATCCCTTCCCACATCGCTCACTGCAGTTTTACAGTACTTTCACCCACAGATGGTGTAGGGTGAAGAAAATCAGTGAGAAAAGACAATGCGTCCACCTTACCGAGATAACAAACTGCCCAGAGCAGAGTCACTCCAATTCCCATATTTTTCCAGGCTGTCAGGCGCTGCTGGTGCTGCTGCTTGTTACTGCACTTGTGTTTCTGCCGAGCCTGTGTGTGTGTGTGTGTGTGTGTGTGTGTGTGTGTGTGCGCGCTAACCAGTGCTTTCTTTGCTTCCTCACAGACGGACATAGATTACGTAAACAGTGTGGTTGCAGGCCTTGAAAAAGAGTAAGTAATGTTTTCTTTTGTCACAAGTTGAACTTCCCCAAAGGTTTTGTTTTGCCTGTCAATGATCTCAATTGTACATTTAGCCTAATGGTTCAGATGCCTTGCTAACCGTTGCTCTTGACTGTCATTGTCCATCAGGTTCTACACAGAGCTGAATTCTGGGTTACTGGAGGTCATATCTCCCCCTGCCAGCTACTACCCAGACTTCAGCAACTTGAAAGAGACCTTTGGTGACTCAAAGGAGCGGGTGAAGTAAGTATTCAGGAAACATTATGCTGTAGCCACATACTTCTACAGTACACTAATAGACTGTGGGAAAGTACATACTTCTGGCTATATAATAAAACAGTTGCCTTGTTGTTTACTGTAAACGTTAGCATATGGAAAAGTGTATTGCCTAAAAATGACCTAATTTATTACCTAAAAATTACTACATACACTACTGTTCAAACGTTTGGGGTCGGTGAGATTTTTAAAAATTGTTTTTTTAAAGAAGGCTCCAAGGCTGCAGTTGTTTGATCAAAAATACAGTAAAAGCTGTATTATTGTTATATATTATTACACTTTACAAAAACCTGTTCTCTATTTTGATATATGGTAAAATGTAATTTATTCCTGTGATGCAAAGCTGAATTTTCAGCATCATTACTCCAGTCTTCAGTGTCACATGATCCTTCAGAAATCATTCTAATATGCAGCATTTGTTTGAAATTACAAACAAATGTTGAATGAAGTTATATTATGTAACAGTATACATGTCTTTACTGTCACTTTGATCAATTTAACGCATAAATAGAAATTTAATAAATTTACGAATTTTCTTACTAAATAGACATATTAATTTACTTAAAAAAAAAAAAAAATCTTACTAACCCCAAACTTTTGAGCAGTAGTATGCATGTTGAGCAGAGGACATTTTTTCTCAAAAAATGCATATACATGCTTCATCAAAAATTGGCATTTTTTGCGTACTGTACTCAATGTACTTAGTTTTTAAACAATATTGCATACTACATATGCAAGAAAGTATAATAGTATGCAGTAGTGTAGTCCATATCGTAGCCTATATACACTACCATTCAAAGAATTGGAAACATACGCTGTTTGCGTTCAGTGAATACTCTCCAAAATGGCACCAGGGTGACGCGGAGGAGACGAATTGTTGAATAAAGTCGTGATTTTTGTTTTCTTTGCATACAAAAAGTATTCTCGTAGCTTCGTAAAACCCCTGATGTCACATGGATTATTTACCGGCCTTGCTACGTTTCAGGACCTTGATCGTGGTAATTACATTGCTGTCTATGGGAGGGTCAGAGAGCTCTCAGAATTCATCAAAAATATCTTAATTTGTGTTCTGAAGATAAACGGAGGTCTTACGGGTTTAGAACGAAATAAGGGTGAGTAATTAATGACACAATTTTCATTTGTTGGTGAACTAACCCTTTAACTTTTTAAAGTAAACAAGTTTTTACTTATTTATTCAGCTAAACAACATTAGTAAAACATTAAGAGCAATAAGTGGTTTTGTCTTTTACAAACAGTATTTTTCAAACATATACTACCTTTCAAATGTTTGGGGTAAGATTTTATTTTTTGAAAGAAATTAAAACTAATTTATAAAGAGCGCATTAAATTGATCAAAAGTGACAGGAAAGACATTTATAAAGTTACAGAATATTTCATTTTCAAATAAATGCTGTTCTTTTTGAACTTTCTATTCTATAAAAGAATCATGAAAAAAATATTCAACAGCAATATTAAGCAGCACAACTGTTTTCTTTTCAGCATTGATAAGAAATGTTTCTTGAGCACCAAATCAGATATTAGAATGATTTCTGAAGAATCATGTGACACTGAAGACAGGAGTAATGATGCTGAAAATGTAGCTTTGGATCACAGGAATAAATTACTTTTTATTGTTAAAAAAAAAAACTTTGGACTTTGGACTTTGTACATTAGCAAGGGTCAGCTTACAGTTCTGTTTAAATCTTTGTATTAGGTTGCAATTCCTAATAATTATTGGCAGTTATATAGTTATTGGCATCTGGAATAAATTATATGTAACTAAAGGTTTACTCTCATTTGGTTTTGGTGTTTTAGTGTTGCTTTGGACTATCAAGGACATTGCTAAGATGGCTTCTGAGTGAATCAACTTTACAAAGCATTAAAGTTGTTCACAATGATGCCATCTGACATAACTGTGTGTGTGTGATTTTAGTTTGTGTGCCTTGTTAAGCATCTGAGTTCTTATTCTGTTCCACAAACTCTACTCTCATCCACTTTTCATCCACTCAGTTTGATCAAAGGAAATGAGTGGCTTTGATGCCCCTCATATTTAATATTCTTTGTCCTTTTTGAATATTTATATCTCTCTTTTCTGAACCTCTTACCGAAAAGGACGAATGAATAACAAAGGTTATATTGAGTATGTGTGAGTGATGTGTTTTTGTTTATAGCCTCACCCTACCTTTATTTAGCTTCTCGGCTATGTATGTTTCGGTTTTCTGTTACTGTCAGTCACACTCGTCATACGCTTGACATCTAGAATTTCACTCCCGGTCAGTTAGCTGACTCATCAACAGGTTAACTTCTACATTCAACCTTGGCTTTTAGGCTGCTGGACATCTCCCTTTTTTAACAAATGTATGATGTGCTGTATTTGTGTTTCTTTGTAGATGGAGGACCAAGCAGAACTTGGACTATTCCTTTCTAATGATGTATGCCGTGAACAAAGGGGTCTATTATGTCCAGGTAATCAAATGACCAAGTTTAAAGGTGAAGCGTGTAGGGCTGGACGATATGGCCAAAATTGATATCACGATATATATTTCTTAATTTCGGTCGATACGGTATAATTCCGATATCGATATGACCACTATTTATCTGAAATGGAAATCTTTTGTAACATTATAAATGCCTTTATCATCACTTTTGATCAATTTTAAGCATCCTTGCTAAAAAAAAGTATTAATTTCTTTCCCAAAAAAAATTATAAAAATTATACTGAATGGAATAGTGTATAATGTTAAAAAAAGCTTTTTATTTCATGTACTCAACTCAACCGTTTAAAATCAATATTTAAAACTCAACTGTTTTAAATATTGATAATCAGCA